GGAGCGCCGGCGGGGTCCAGGACGCGCCTCGGCGCGCGGGCCTTAAGTGCGCCTGGGCTCAGCCCTCCTGCGGGCGCACCTGCCTCCCCGCGCGGCGCTCTCGAATTGGCGTCGGGCCGCAGCCGTGTGGCCGCAGCCTCACTGAAGTGCAGTTTGGGTATTTCTGCCCGTCGTGTGAGTGGAAAACTGCAGTGTCATTAGGCTGACAGATGCTATAGAGGCTCCTCCGTGGGTCACGGGGGTGGGGAGGGTAAGGAAGTGCTTTTATGCTTGGGCACCGTCTAGACAGGATGACACAACGCGACCGTGCCCTTCCCAGCTGCCAGGCGCAGGTGACGGCCGCAGTGGGAGGTGGCAGCGGGCACGGCGCGGGCGTGGGCGGGCGCCTGGCAAGGACGCGGTCTCTTTCCAAGCGCCATGTTGCCCACCCAACCTCCGCCCCCTTCCCGCTGCATCTTCACAATGGAGCCCACGACCTCGTGAGCGCCAGATCCTTCCACTGCCGCCCTCTTGGCCTTCTTTGCCCATGCCTGTCCGAGGTCAGTGCCCCGAGGCCAGTATGTGGGTCAGTGGCAAAAAGCTGCAAGGGGTCTGTGGCAGGAGTCATCAATGAATGGGGGCAGCCGCAGGGCGGGGCCAAGGGAGCGGTCCTGTGGGACCATGCAGCAGTCCGGATGCAGCGAGAGACACTCGGCCCTGGGGAGTGACAGAGCCTTCTGCGCCCACTGCTTCCTGGAGGGGCTCTGCCTGCCGCCCCCTCCTCCACCGCCCCTCCCAGCCTTCCAGCCTGTGGCCACAATATGGCAGCAGCTCTGCAGATGCCCAGCCCCTCCGCAGCAGCTGCTGCACAATTAGGGGCCAGCAGCTCTCTGCTTCCTGGCTAGGATGCCTCACTGTCTGACCACGGCCGTCCCTCCTGAGGGAGGGCTCCGGGCCAGGATGCGACTCCCTTCTCTTTGCAGTTCTGGGAGGTGATCAGTGATGAGCATGGCATCGACCCCCACTGGCAGTTACCATGGAGACAGCGACTTGCAGCTGGAGAGAATCAACGTGTACTACAATGAGGCTGCTGGTGAGTGTCTGATGTCACCTTGCTCTCCTTCCTGTGGCAGAGGAGGTGACAGAAGCGTCTTGCACATTCCTCAGACAGGCCAAGTGTAAGAAAACCCCACCTCGCTGTTGCTGCAGACTCCGGCCCGGTGGACGTGACCACTTGTGCTCAGCGTCCATTCTCCTCCCTGTGCCTCTGTCGCTGCACTTTTCTGTCACGAGTTCTGCCTTGTCAGCCACACAGAACAGGGCTCTGCCCTCCGTTTTTGGTCAAGCGCGGGTCTGAGACAGCTGTTGTTCCCACAGGTAACAAGTACGTACCTCGGGCCATCCTGGTGGACCTGGAGCCGGGCACGATGGACTCAGTGAGGTCGGGCCCGTTTGGTCAGATCTTCAGGCCAGACAACTTTGTGTTCGGTATGTCTTCGCGGGCCCTGGAGCTGGCCAGGTGACTGGCCTTCCTAACAGCCCCGCACATCGCATTCTCAGGGTTCAGGCCGGGGGTACACTGTCCAGGGAAGCCCCGTGCTGGCGAAAGTCACACGCCCACGGGGCCGGGTCCCTGGTCTGCACAGCTCCGACATGGGTGTCAGCCTGCAGAGGCTGGAGGATGAAGAGCAGGACACGCCTCCCACAGGCGTCCTAGGCACAGGGGGTTTCCAAGGAGCAGAGAGCACAGTGACCACTTCAAGGTGCTGGAGCCAGAAGCACAGCTATGAAATGCGCTTGGACATAGCCGAGAGCCTGTCCTCCTGCTGGTGCTGTGCCTCGCCTGATCTCTTAATTGTACCTAATTAGAGCATCTACGGAGTGCTCTGTCCTTCATTTTAGAGGCATTTAGGACTTGTTAAACATAACCTCTCCTCCAACATTTTTACTTGGTAGGATCCCTAAGGGCCTTGGGGTTCACTGATAAACCAAAATTTTTATAGGTAGCAAAAACATACCTAAAGGACTACCTAGAAGGTTTATCTGCGGCTAGGCCAACTCTTCCACATCAAATGACACAATAAGAAATTCCCTTTCCCCTTGTAGGCCAGAGTGGTGCCGGGAACAACTGGGCCAAGGGACACTACACAGAGGGCGCCGAGCTGGTGGACTCGGTCCTGGACGTGGTGCGGAAGGAGTCCGAAAGCTGTGACTGTCTCCAGGGCTTCCAGCTGACCCACTCGCTGGGGGGCGGCACCGGCTCGGGCATGGGCACCCTGCTCATCAGCAAGATCCGCGAGGAGTACCCAGACCGCATCATGAACACCTTCAGCGTCATGCCCTCGCCCAAGGTGTCCGACACCGTGGTGGAGCCCTACAACGCCACCCTGTCCGTGCACCAGCTGGTGGAGAACACTGACGAGACCTACTCCATCGACAACGAGGCCCTGTACGACATCTGCTTCCGCACCCTGAAGCTGACCACCCCCACCTACGGCGACCTCAACCACCTGGTGTCGGCCACCATGAGCGGGGTGACCACCTGCCTGCGCTTCCCGGGCCAGCTGAACGCAGACCTGCGCAAGCTGGCCGTGAACATGGTGCCCTTCCCGCGCCTGCACTTCTTCATGCCGGGCTTCGCGCCCCTCACCAGCCGGGGCAGCCAGCAGTACCGCGCCCTGACGGTGCCCGAGCTCACCCAGCAGATGTTCGACTCCAAGAACATGATGGCCGCCTGCGACCCGCGCCACGGCCGCTACCTCACGGTGGCCGCTATCTTCCGCGGCCGCATGTCCATGAAGGAGGTGGACGAGCAGATGCTAAACGTGCAGAACAAGAACAGCAGCTACTTCGTGGAGTGGATCCCCAACAACGTGAAGACGGCCGTGTGCGACATCCCGCCGCGCGGCCTCAAGATGTCAGCCACCTTCATCGGCAACAGCACGGCCATCCAGGAGCTGTTCAAGCGCATCTCGGAGCAGTTCACCGCCATGTTCCGGCGCAAGGCCTTCCTGCACTGGTACACGGGCGAGGGCATGGACGAGATGGAGTTCACCGAGGCCGAGAGCAACATGAACGACCTGGTGTCCGAGTACCAGCAGTACCAGGACGCCACGGCCGACGAACAGGGGGAGTTCGAGGAGGAGGAGGGCGAGGACGAGGCTTGAGAACTTTTCCAATAACTCGTGCATCCTTAGTGAACTTCTGTTGTCCTCCAGCATGGTCTCTTTGTACACTATGGTGCTCAGTTTTGCCTCTGTCAGAAATTTACTGTTGATGTAATAATGTGGATCTCCTCTCAGAATTACAGTATTGTCTAAGATATCTATACTAATAAAGCATGTGTACAAAACCTTGTCCTTCCCCTTCCTTCAAGTAATTTTTATTCTTCACTAAATGTACAAGGTTTCAGACTTCAATCTTAATAGCAGTATATGATTTGTGTGATTTTAATTAATACCATTCCTGATCTTTCAATAAAGAGAGATGAAAGTGTTTATTTTTTCTTTACTGACCCATAGTATTAAAGGAATCTCTTAGAAGTAATATACAGTGGTTTGAGCGTTAAGCAAACCACCTTCTCTTCTTTGCTGTTGTTCCAGAAACCCGATGAATCTTTAGGTAAGGACTTTCTCCTACCTCTCTTTTTCTCTGAGCAGTGTGATAAATACAAATCAATTGACAAGTGCAGCGGCACTGCTCAGATAAAGCGTTTGCTATAATTTCAGCTGTCCCGACAAGGTGAATAGGAACACTGCAAGTGTGCCACCTCAAATTTATTTGTTAAGAAATTGTGGGCATTTATTTTTTTAGACAATGATAGAAATTCAGTGTTAAAAAATCAGATTAATTTTTGTAAGCTATGAAATCTACAGGCTGTCTTCAATACATCATGATTCCTGTTTGATTAGGATCACACTATAGGGGGTTTTAGGAAGCCTGGAAATGCAAGTGGACTGAACTGTGAGGTAGGGAAGGGGCTCACAGGCGTTGTGGTAACCACCAGCAACCTGATCCAGCCCCACCCCAGGATGCACCGAGACACAAAAGTTCCGGGCGTTTCATTGCAGGAAGTCTTCTGCTAATTTGTTGAACTCATCTGCAAATCGTAAATGCAGGTTGTGTTTGCCTTCTGACATCAGATGCAACCTAAAAAAAAAAATAACAGCTTTGGATCTCTGGCACACCACTTTAAAGATTCTTTCCCCTCTCCAACAATTCATGAAAATCTTAAAAAGAACAAATCTGCCCCAATTTCCCATGCAAGTACTGCTGAGACATGGGAGGTAAGTCGCCACTTTCATGGCTGTGGACGTAGGGAGGGACCCTTCGTGGTCTGGCCTCCGGAGGTTGACTGCAGGACAATCACTCAACAGCCACAGGCACACACTGTATTTGGAAAACCAAGAGCAGGGGAGATGCTTTGCTGGTTACTTAAAAAAAAAAATCCATTTTAATAAAACTGATTTTAAGAGAAAAGATTGGAAAAGTGATAATGTCCAGAATCTAGGTTGGGGCAGGTTTCTTGGCGTATCTGTGTGGTGAGAATGCACAAATCAATTCAAGGTTCTAAATCATCCTACTGGTTTTGGAGTGCTGAGCAAATGAGCCCGAATACAGCCGCAAACAAGTGGCACCATTCCTGACCCGCGGGACGGCAGGGCCGCCGCCGCAGCAGCCCTGTGCGGAGAGCCACTGCCGCAGCTGTCCCGGCTCATCTTGGCGGCCACCCTCTGTCCTGTCAGGCTTTTTCCTTTCAGTGAGATTTTGGTCACAGGGGACTGTTTTGCAATTTCTTTAACAGAGACAACCTTCTCTGAGTTTAACATTTACTATCTGCCAAAGTGTAGAAATTTTAAAACTGTGGTAAGCACAAGTTCAAGCCATTTGGTCTGCAAGAGTCTACAGGGCCGAGATTCCAGGGACCACACTGCCTACTTCTCGATCTGGGTGGGGCTAAGAGTGCTCAGAACCTCCGTGGGGACTGGGGGACTCATGAGGAGGGGAGCTGTCTTCCCAAGATGCCAGGCCTCTGGGAACTCAGCCGCAGGCAGGGTGGGGCAGGGCGGGGCGGGGGCGTGCACTGGAAAGGAAGGCAGACTGTTGGCACCATTTGGCAGTCCCGGAAGGTTAACAACACCATTCCCAAGAAGCGGAACATATGAATTCAATGTTACTTCTGTTCAAAAAAGCAGCATGAGCTGTGCTGACCCCACAGACAGGATCCCAGTCGCCCCACACAAGGCTTGCAGGGAAGCTCCAGGCCTTGGTTCTGGGAAGACAGGAAAGAACCAGCTGCCAAGGATGCTGAGGGTTACAGAAGGGCATGCTGAAGCCAAACTGCATCCCCCTGAGCTAAGCTGGAATCTGAGGCAGGTAACTCTGACTCGCCACGCCTGAAGCCCTCCCCTGTGGACATCCAACCTAGCTACCAAGAGCTCTATTCCCTTTCTATGACTTGCTTGCTCCCTGCTCACCAGCTGTGAATTCCTGCTTTTCAGCTGTTCAGTGCTATCTGCACTCTTCCACTAGTAATCACCAGACCTTGGGGAAATCAAAACTAGGTCCATTTCATTAAAAATATGAGGCCTGCCTGGGATGATGGGTGGATGGATGGATAAAATGATAGACGGACAGATGAGTGAGAATATGAAGTCATTCTTGTCCTTGGTCCCTTTTGGGGGTCATTCTGAGGTCCCTGTACACTGTCTCTTTAATTTCTGATGTGTAACTCTAAGTGAAACCTGTCGTGTGTCTCTCTTCGGGAACAGGACCACAACGGACGGATGTAAATACTGGCTGTCAAGGCCGTCAGCGGCCCCGCCGCTGACCTCATTTTCACCCAGACAACAAAGGGATCCAATCACATGCGCCGCGCAGCATGGTTTTCAAGCAGTCATTCTCCATGAAAATTAGTCAGATAAGAAGGGGCCTGCAGCTGGCTCTGAAACCCAGATTCTGGTCTCTGCTGGGCCCCTAACTCCTGAGATCTGATCCCTGGAAACACTGTCATGGGCTTTTAACAGTGAATTTTGTCCCCCTGAATGAATACGGTGAAATCCTAGAGCCTCTGAAGAGGCTTTAAACAGACTCTGAGGTTAAAAGTGGAGTCACATGGGTGAGTCCTAACCCATTAGGTCTGGTGTCCCTGTAAGAGGAGGGCACAGGTTCATCAGAGATACGGTGAAGACAGGGAGATGATGGCCAGCCACACACCATGGAGAGGACTCAGAAGAGACCAACACTGGGATACTGGGTGCCAGAACTGAGAGAAAATCCCACGCTCCCCACTTCTGCTGGGGTGAGGTCTCAATGAACCCACCATAGCTTGAGAATACCGGGGCTGAGGGCATTTCTCAGTGGAAGAGTACACGGTCAGCATGCGTAAGGCCCTGGCTTCAATGCCCAGCAAAACACAAAGACCCATAATACGTTGACTATCTCACAGAATCTACTGAGTGGTGTATTAAAAAGCAGAAACAGAACGGCTGTGTTGGTACCCTCTGACAGCGCTATAAAGTTGACAGATAAGTCAGCGGGTGTCTGTAAATCTCCTCACTCTGTCTCAGCAGCCCTAGCTACTTGAGCCATATCTTGAGTGCACACAGGGCTGGGCCTGGCTGTGTGCAGTCACATCCTCTGTGGGCTGGCCCAGTCCTGCTGTCCCCCACCTATCCTTCCTGACCTCCTGAACCGTCTGAGGGGTCCAACATTTACTCTGAAAGCCTTCTTTGAGAGCGAGCTGGGCTGGCGCATGGGTGACGCCAGGCCTGGTCACAGGAGGCACCTTGCAGAGGCTGGTGAGCCAGGGAGGTGGCAGTGAAGTCAGCACCTGTCAGCACAGCGGGAAGTCTGGACACACAGGAGGCCCAGCAGTCAGGGATGCGCAGGAGAACCCGGAAGGCAGGGTCTGCTGCGGCACTCAGGATAGCTGTCACTGAGTTTCATGTTTCAACTTTTGTCTAAGACTCAGTTACAGGGAGGAAGGCTCACTGCCTAAGCACACATTTTTGGTAGAGATTTTTTTTTTTTTTTTTTTTTTTTGGTTTTTCTCCGGTACCAGGAAC